CTATTAGCTTATCAGGACTTTATTAAATGTTAAGCTCTGAAATTTTATATTGTAAATTATTTTTACATCTTTAAGAATCATATGTCTTTATATTTTTTAGATCCTTATTTAGGAGCCATATCAAGGCTGCCTAATACTGCCAAGCTGACAAAGTTATGGCTAGCCCAGCCATCAGTACTATCAGAGATCTGAGAAGGATAAACTTTATGTAACTTTTGAATCTATTAAAAATGACAGGGACCAGTCCATACACAGTTAGCAATATCCAAGTCTCTATAGCATTGGGGGCAGAAGTAAATCTTTGCCAGGCCTATAAAGTGAGAGTTTTCTTTCTCTCTGTGGAAGAGGGACATGGAAAAGACTGACCTTATTTGTCCAGGCTAAGGTGGTGCAATCAATTTTCCAGTATCCTGCACCCTGTCCACAGTCTGAACTGGGTCCTGCCTGGCAGCAGGCATTGCATTTGACCATCTTGCTCACTGGTCAGCATCATCACAACCCGTGGTGCCCCGTAATCTTCTTTAGAGTACTTGGGCCATTGTTAGGATCTGGGATTCTCTGTCTGATATTATATGCTTTTTAGTTATCATTTTAAATGCCATATTCTACAGATCTCTGTAGTATCAGAAGTCTGCCTAGGTAGATCTGAAAAGACAACTTTGTTTTCAGTTACTTGTTTTAAGCTTAACCTTTGAAAACATACAGGGGGCTAAGTAAGGTTTATCCCTATTCTTAATCATTAGTACTGAGCTTGTCTATAACCAACAGTTTATTTATAAGGATGGCTAATAACTTGTATTTTTAACATCTTATAATAGGTTAACAGCTTTTATAAAACTAGAACTTGACATTGTCAGGTTTAGCTTTAAAAATAATGATTTTTAATTGAAACTCCTTTTAGGGAAACATGAAACATCTATGTGACTCAGTTTATCTAAATAGCTTAAGCTTACCAAATTTAGCAAAAACAAGGATGCATTGCCTTACTGTATCATAAAAAATGAGCATCTCAACTTTTGGTTAGTATATGGAGCTTATGGCTGTGATCTTAAATTTTAGCCTTTTGGTTTAAGTACAATCAATAATATAAGCACAAATAGCCTGTAACCTTATAAATTTAAACATTTTAAAAACAATGAAAAATCCTTTAATGTCTCTTTGTAATATCAAAAATAAAGCACTCTTTATGTCTTTAAAAACTATTATCACCTGGGTGACTGTTAAATTTATGTTATTAACTTCCAGTGTTACTAGTTTTAACCTTTTAAATAGTTTCATTTTTTAACAGATTTAGCCATAAAATAGTTTTAATGTCATCTATATCAAGAGGACATCTGAATATCTGATAATCTGAATTTAATAACCAGAGCTCAGAGATAAATTTTGAGCTATGTCCATAAATGACTGTCTGCTGTTGGCACTAAACAGCAAAAATATTTAAACTATTTTTGTTTTAGCTCTATGGTTGTAACGAAACTTACATTTATACCAGAAAACACAAGTAGAACTTTTTAACAAGTACACATAATTTTCTTTTGACAAATAAACAGAAATTTTAAACAGAATTAACCTGACATGGTCAAAATGTTTATCCCATTTTATTAATTTTAAATTTATTGTTTGTAGATATGAGAGCCCATAGTAAACAGTTACATCCTCCTCTGACCCTTTTACGACTTTTTTTTGACCCTCTATAACTTTTTATATTCTTAGACATCCCCATCTCAGACAAATCTCTCCTTTTCTCTTTTTCTCTTTCTTATTCCTCTTAGCAGTGACTATCACTCAGGGGTACATGGCTGAAGTGAACATTTTTTTTTCTTTTATTTTCCCTCTAAATCCTGAGTGTACCTTCTTAGTATGGCGCCTTCCCCTGACTCTCTCTGCGCCCTCTGCCCTCTTAACTGTTGGCTCCTTTCACTGTTTATGTGGGCTTTACCGGCTCTCCTTTTATGTTTTTTATTATTATTACAATTTTTTATTTCTTTGTTACCTTTTTGGGTCTGGCCAATCCTTTCTCCTGTTCTATCTTTTATTGTCCAGAGAAGTAGAGTCATACTCTCAACGTCTGAAGCTCCTTCCGATGTTCTCTCTGCTGCTTTGGTGTATTTTGTGGACTTCCAAATATGCACCCCCATTTGACCTGTCTCCTACACCCACAGTTTTATCATTATCATATTTGGTCTTTTTTTTTTTTTTTTTTTTTGCATCAGACTGATTGTACCAAGTCTGCACATAGCCATCACATCTACACACCATTTATTTTTTTTAGCTGACATAAAAATTTTTGCCACCCCCTTTTTCCCTGTACCTGGGTTTCATGCTCTGTGGCCCCTCAAGTCACAGCTGCTGCGGAGAGGAGGGAGGGGCGGGGGCAGCTTAGGCCACCAGCTGCTTGGGATTCAGAATTCCTCTCTGCTCCAAATGCCCACCAGCTGCTGCTAGCAGGCCCTTTTGCCTGGCCCAATACACCTCGGCCCTTGGCCACCGGTTCGGCTCCCTTAGGAGGCCAGCAGTGGAGGCAGGTCTCAGGCCGAGCACAGCTCAGGACAGCTGTACCACGAGGAGCCGGGTGCTGTTGAACCTGGTGTTGTGTTCTGCGTTGCTGCCAAGCTGTAACCTTCTGGCCTGAGAGCTGCTGGGGCAGGACAATTTAAGTTTTTACACAGGGAAGGAAGGAGTCTGTCCCATTAGATACTGTCCTGAGTCAGTGTCCATCAGATGGCAGGCCAACCCAACATTCAGCTGGGTTCCTACCAAGATGAGAATTTGAGAAGTCCCCCAAATTTAGATGTCCATTGCTGGACCAGAGGCAAAAAAGAGAACTTTTTTTTCAGACAGATAGTCAAGCAGACTAACAGATGGACATAGAACACTCACCCTGGCCAGGAGCTCAACCTCTTTTGGTCAGGGGTCCTGGGAGGCTGAGGGAAATCTGGGATGAGCTCCTAAATGTTGTGCCTACTGGGTTTCCTCAACCACCAAGGAAGTGACTCCTGATTGCAAAAGCAAAAGGTTTTTATCGCTAAGAACCAAACTGTCTGGGACCTCACTTTATTGGAAGAGTAAGGTGCCTGCTTACAATTGTGAAGCATTATTTAAAAAGGAAAGGGAGGCTTGAGCCTGCTAGTCTCAGCTCACAAGGTTTCCAAGGTTACAGAGATTTAAGATTACAAAGTTTCTTTACAAGGTGGGCAGTCTCAGTTGCCTTGTTCTCAAGATAATGGGGCAGGAGGATGCTGGTGGTGCGCTCCAGCTTTCTCCTTTATCTCCCGGGCTCTGGTCCCGTACTCTGCAGTCAGGGAGTTTATCTTCTCTCTAGTTTTCCCTTCTTGCCATAAGCTCTATTTTATACCTCTTAGTTATTAATTTTCCATCACAAGTGAATACCAAGGAAGCCGGGTATAATAACAAGCCTGTCTCAAATGAAACAAAGGGAAAGAAACTAAAAAGATAACCTGAAAAAAACCCCCACTGCAAATTTCTGGAGAACATTCAAAGTTTAATTTGTGCGCTATCTTCAAGCTATATGGTTTGATATCCTTCATTCTAGATGTGTGTGTGTGGGGGGGGGGTATATGTGCAGGAGTGGAGAACCCCTTGGAGGTCAAAAAGCATCAGATCTCCTGGAGAGTTATGAGGGGTTCGAGTCACCTGACCTTAATACTGGGAACCAAAGAATTCTGAAAGAGCAATGCAGCTTGCTCCTCATTATGGAACCATTTTCTCTAGTCTTGACTTGGGATTGTGTGTGTTCTGAGTGCACACTGTGGAGGGCACCTTTTGGAGTCTGTTCTCTCCTTCCATCCTGGAATTGAACCTGGGTTTTCAAACTTTGGAGGCAAGCAATTTAATCCCCTGACCCACCTGCTTCAGCCCCTGGATTGTTCCTTGTTCTAATTTTAGAGAAATTTCCAAGTTGTAAATATTTTAGCCATCCTCAAGTCTGTCATATTTTGGCAGTTTCTTCATTATGACACCACTATTCTAGTAGAATGAAAAACCAGTTAGGACTTTCCATCACTATAGGCTAAAATCAGGGCAATTGGACACTCTTTTTAAAATACTTTTTATTTTTATGAGTGCTCTGTCTGCATGTGTGCCTGCATTACAAAAGAGGGCATCAGAACCCATTACAGATGGATGTGAGCCACCATGTGGTTGCTGGGAATTGAAATCAGGACCTCTGGAAGAGCAGCCGTGACATTTTGACTTTTGAGCTATCTCCCTCATCAAAACTAAGTATGTCATCATATAGTGTGTTCTGGTAAATTGTTCTTTTACTCTAATGCTAAAACATAAATTTGTTCAATTAAGTAAGTCTATGTATTCTAATTAAAAGAAAAACTGTGTATGGATGTTTTGGCTGTATGTCTGTCTGTACATCATGAGTGTGCCATGTGCACAGGGAAGTCAGAACAGTCTCAGATTTCCTGGCAGTAGTCATAGACAGTTGTGAGCCACTGTGTGGGTGCTGGGAATTGAACCTGGGCCCTTTGGGAGAGCAGTCAGTGCTCTTAACTGTTGAGTGCCCCTTCCAAACCTGTTTTAAAAATGATTATGGGACTCATAATGTCCTGGTGAATTACTTTATAAATTTCCCAGGTTAAAATGGTACGGAATCAACTCCACCCAATATTCCCTAAGCAGCAGCAGCAGCAGCAGCAGCAGCAGCAGCGTTACACAGATAAATTTTATTTAATCTTACAAAGTAAACAGGGGCAGCGGGTTGGCTCCTTTTCTTTTTTCCATTAGTAAGTTACAATTCTTTTGGTAGGATTCCCATTTTATGTTTATTACATTTTTTATTACCCCAAATGCCAATTTTAAAAAAATTCACTTTACAAATATTGGATAAGGAATGAAAAATGATAAAGTTTACTTATTCCACTTCCAACTCCTCCCAAATTTTACTAATTTCACAAACATGGTGCAGGTAGTCAATTAACATAAACATAATTCAGAGTAAAATGTGAAAATCTTGTGGGTTTTACACCCGACTACTCAGATACTTCATCTTCAGGTTCACCAGGCTCAGCTTCCGCTTCAACATTCACTGGTACTCCGAGCTCCTTTCTATGGGGAATAAAACAGCAATTATTAAAGATTTTGTTATAGGTAAAATGAAATACATTAAACTGGTGGTGACCTTCCCGTGTCTCTGCTTCTTGAGTGCTTGGCAAAGATGACTGCCCACCCAGTGGGCCCTACAGTTTCGGACTACGGAGGGGAGGGAAGGAAGCTGGGAGAAGCCCAAGGCATCCCTGGAAGACACTTCCCACCCCCCTAAAGCAAGTGATATACCGCACAAACACGTTGGGGAACTGTGTACGCTGGAAGATACGCTCCAGCTCCCTAAGTTGCAGCCCACTGAAGGCGCTGCAGATCTCACTGAGATCATTATCATCCTGGAGTTGAGGCATCCCGGCTGAAGCCTCGAGGGTTGGCTGGTCCTGGTCCTGGCCACCATAGCCCTTGTTGTCCTCGTCATTCTTGGTACCCGGTACTCCCACACCTAGAAAACCAAAATCGCTGCTTTCTCCTGCAGCGACTCCTAAATCCAGTTTGGACCAGATTTGATCACCACCGTCGCCTCCTCCCCGGATATTGATCACAGGTGGTTTGGCTTATGAAAAGGAGGGTAAGAGAGAGATCGCAATGCCAAGAGATCAAGAGACAGACGGCAGACAGAAAAACATAAAGGTGTTCAGTCCCACACCCCGCATCTAAAGGCTGCCACCAAGGAACAGCGTCGGTGATGGCCCAGTACCATCCTATCCACCCTACAGAACTTGTGTTTTGGGGGTAGCCGCTGAATTCCCCTCCCAGAGTTTTCTCTGGAGAGGGGCCCTCCAATTTCCCAATTGTATGTAGCCCAAGCACCGACCTTTGGCTTCTTCCAAGGAAGCATCAACTCTCAGTGTCTGGTAGTTGGAGTCCTCGTGCTCGAACTTACGGGGATGATCCATTTTGAAACTGTCTTTGAGCGCTTTCAGGGTGTCTGTTCTGCGAGATGGCAGCTAGAAGTCTGCTCGCTGTGCCACCACCAACCGTTCTGCTCTAAACTTTGAGAGTCGAACGAACGTAAGTGGATTGTGTTCACTGTGACGTTCACAATGCTGGGTTCACAATGCTGGGGATTGGACGGCCATAACATGCTCCATGGTGGGGATTGGACAAGTATGTACTGCACTGGTGATTGGACAGGCTAGGACATGCATAAGGCTTGTGATTGGACAGACAGTGAGTGATAAATTTAACACTGCATGCAGATTGGACACTCTAGGGGCAACTGATCCAGGGGATTGGATGGGCTGAGGATGCACATACAATGCTAGGGATTGGAAGGCTGGAATGTGCATATGCAGGGTGATGAGGATTGGGCAGACTGCAAACTTCACGAGATTGTGGGGGCTGGGTGGCACACTTCCTGGTGTGGCTACTGGGGAGGATGGCTTGTGGGGGGAGGTACAGAGGAACGAGAGTGAAATCTCACGTGGACTTTTGAGCCTGTGGTGAAAAGCCCTCTACCCCACCCTACTCCCCATCCCACCCCATCCTCCCACACTACCCCACTCCATGCCTCCACCTCTCCACCTCCCATCCCATCGCCCACCACCCACCCCACCCCACCCCACCCACATCATCTCACTCTAGCCTCCCACCAAAACCCTCCCACCCCCACCCCACCCCACTCCACTCCACCCCCCATCCCTCATCCCCCACCCTCCACCCCACCCACTGTAAGGTGCACATGCACATTTGTGGTTCCATGCCTTCATGCCTCAAAAGCTAGAGTGACACAGACTGGACTTAGTCTCTCAAAGCAGAGCTATCTTGGAAGAAATGCAACACTTCTTGGCCCAGGGTTCTGGCCCATTCGTTCTCAAAGTCTGTAAGTCGTAAATAAGTTGAAACAATCAGGCAGTAGTTGGTAGGCTACGAGTTTGCCTAACCGCATATGAAAAGCTGAGCACACTACGTGCAGCAAGATGTCTGAGTTGCTGGAGTTTGGGACTCTGTATGCTCACATGAAAGCTCCCTGCTTTGTTTTAATATTGTTTCATTTTCTATTACATTTGTTTATGCATGTTTGTATGCTAGCATGTAGAGGCCAGAGGACAACTTTCACAAGTTCGGTCTCTGCTTCCATTACGTAGGTCTTAGGGATTGTACTTAGGTCTTCAGGCTTGGCGGCAAGCACCTTGACTGCTGAGCCATCTCCTCTGTCCTGACAGTCCTTTTTCAAAATGCCCCAGTGCTCTGTGCTAGTTGTGTTGAACACTTCCTGGTTCTGACTATCCAAGAATGCTTACACTATAGAGGATCCTCCTTTATCTCTAGATAGGACTGCATGCAGAGCAGTAGTACCTTATATGTGCTCTGCTGCTGTGTCTGGCCCTGGCATGAGGCCCTCTACTGTGGCTACAGATGCTGCATTGAAACTGTGCTGGTGCTGTTGACATGGGTTAATACACTCCCAAACCCGAACCCTCCAACTTCTCCTACTCTCCAATAACCTTCCATATTCCTTCTGAGATAGTTAGAGGGGCCCAGCCCTCTTGGGGATCATTTTTATTAGATGTTAAACACTATTAAGTAATGTCAAGAGTGTTTCTGTTATTTTTGTGGTAGCTGTTGTAATGTAAAAAGCGCTGCATGAGAGAAAGACGCCATGTGACAGAGTTCACCTGGAGGGGTCTTATATTAAGAGAAAGGGAATGGGAAAATGAGGGAGAGGAGGGGAAAGACCAGCTTCTGGGGACAGCAGCAGCAGAAGAGAAAACGGGGGGGGGCAGACAGGCAGGTAGAGGAGCAGAGAGGAAGAGAGAGAGGAGAGGATGTGGGCAGGGCCCCTTTAAACAGCGAAGTAGTGAATGTGCACAGGTGGTGCTCTTAGTGGCTGCAGCTGAGAACATATCCTGTCAGAACTCCAAGGGCAGGCCAGTACTGATGCCTGAAAACTAACAGTAGTACACACTTACTATCCTAGCATTTGGACATCTAGGGCAGGAGGATTAGTACTGTTTAGGGGTATATGAAGAGAAAATCTCCTGAGATGTCCGAATAAACCAAATGGAGTCTTTATTACCAGCTACATGGCTGTCCCAAGCAGAGTATCAGGAAGTATTCTTAATGTCCAGTTTGAGTTTTTAAAGGTAAGGACCAAAATTGTGATGTATACAGAAAGGCAGTTCTGGATATCTACAGCAAGAGTTGCTTAAAGAAGCAGAAAGATAGCAGTTAAGTGGCTAGGGTCACATTGTATAGGAATGTATGACTGGTCCAGAGACTAGTATACTCTAGGAGTTTATGGCTGATCCAGAGACCTGTTTATCATAAGGATTTATGACTGATCTAAGTGACCAGAGATGAGAAATTAAAATATGCCAGTGTCCATGTCAAAGGAGCAGCGGGTGGCAAGTGAAGTTCAAAGTGTCAGCCCACCAGGAGAAAACTCTCTGATGGGTCAGTCTTGGTTACACAAGGTTCTGAGACCACAGGCCCTGGAATGTCTTTTGCTTCTTCTGTGCCTTTACATGTTTGCTGCTGTGATCTTTCTGGTATCTGGCATGGTGTGAATGGATGAGGAAACCCCCACTGCCTGTAAAGTAGTGTGTTTATGTCATGGAAACACTGAGATCTACTGGGCTTTTTTTAATCTGTGGATTGTGTTTTTATTACATGGAAACACTGAGATCTACTGGGCGTTTTTATCTGTGGATTGTGTTTATGTCATGGAAACACTGAGATCTAGTGGACGTTTTTATCTGTGGATTGTCATGAAGATGATGTTTTCCTAACATGTACTGTCTAATTGATAATAATAATGTTAGCTTATATGGAGTTTTGATGAGCAAAAATAAATACAATGAAATGCTGCACAGGCAGGGCCTATGAGTTTCACCTAAGAAGCTACATAGAACATAGCTCAAGTTAAAGATTAAGGAAAACAAATTAGTATCCAGGAGCCAGACTGGCTCTAATTCCTTACTGCTGAAAGATGCAGTCACAGTTTCAGAGAGCATCGTTACCTGAAACAAAGCTCTAAAATAATTTTGGGTTAGATCATATGCCTTCATAAATGCATTAAGATGAAAATCCCTACCCCGCAAATAACCTGAAGTTCACAAGGACACATAATTAAGGTTAAAAAAACAAACAAACAAAAAAACAAAGCAACTCAATTGTTATTAGCTAAAGTGCTTTCCTTGCTAGGGTTAATTGATGATGAAAGGTGATGATTAATTCCTTAATCCCATATCTGCTGTTAATCTCCTGATAAAAAGAAACTATTGATGAGTGGGTATGCACCCTAAAGACATACCCACATACATGGTGTTTTTCATGTATAAAAGTTTAGATTTGTGATTCCTCTAAGAGTCCTTATACAATCAACTTTCAAGATAAATAGTAAAATGATTGATACTTTTTTTTTTTGTAAACTCAATATGCAGCCTGACAATGAAAGAATTGGCTGTGAAAAAATACTTTCTGCTTGCTCATATTCTGTTAATCTGTAACAAGTTACTTAGATGTAAATGTGTGTGGATTTCCTTTTGAGCCCTGTACAGCATGGACGCTGGCTCCTCAGGCAGTTATAAAAATATTGTTAGGAATGCTTTCATGAGATCACATAGCTATAGTTCAGTAGCCCGCTACAACGTGAGTTTAAGTCTAGGCTACAGCCTGAGTTGAAAGCCTGGGATATAGCAACAGCCTTAAAAAAATTGGGGCTAATGATAGATTTTTTTGTTTTGTTTTGTTTTGTTTTTTTTAAACTGGGAGTACCTACCCTATACATAAGTAGCAGTAATTGTTGCAGGATAAAGACTCAAAGACCAATTAGTTTGAACAAAGTCTGAATTGAAAGTCTGTATGAAGCCTGCCTGAGACTGCCTGGAGAGAAGAAGTTGTGGGGTATCTACCAGAGAAGATTATTCAGACATGGGTTTAAGCCAACAGAAAGTCTTTATTAGCCAGCCAGCAACTATACTGGGTGTTCATGATCCTGGTGTATCCCTGAGCCTTTCTCAAGGTGAGCATAAGCACACACACACACACACTCACACACACACACAAAACAAACAAACATACAAAAAAGCCCACATGTTCTGCTTTGGCTAACTTTGGTTAATTAATAAGAACTACGGAAGGCAAAAAGCAAGGTTAGTATATTTAGAAACTTTCTCAGAGCTACAGACACTGATGGATTAGGTATTTCTTTCTTTCTTCCTTTTCTTTTCTTTTTTCTTTTTTCTTTTTCTTTTTCTTTTTTGGTTTGGCAGGTGGTGATGCCTATGTGCTGAGTGTTATGACCTGAATGGTACTTCCATCATGGAGTCAGTTGTGCTAAGGTCTGTGGACAAACTAGGGTCTGGAGTCTTGTTAATAGGCACATTTCTCACAGAACAGCCTTAAAAGCATTTTACAGGGAGTGTGTAAAGTCAAAGGACACAGAAAAACTACATCCTATTTGGCAGCAGCAGGGGAGAAATAAGGCAAGCAGTCAGTTTAACAGAAGCCAAGAATACACAGCTGTGGCATTTTGACCCTGAGTTTCTAGAACAGGTTTGGATACCTTCCCCAAATTTCCCAAGGGACATTTCAAGCCTGGGACATTCTAGACTTTTCTATCTGAGAGGGTTAGGACCCAAAGGTCTAGGAACCAGTGGGTGTTAGTGACTTCTGGATAGGAAACCTATCCCAGAGGTCTCTTCCTTGTGGCATAGAGTCTGAATTCCTGGGTTCTCCCTGTTTCCCAAAGGCAGAATCTATATCTATCTATCTATCTATCTATCTATCTATCTATCTATCTATCTATTTATCTCTTTTTTTTACATGTACACAAATTTAATGGAACACTTGAAACCCAGGTCTACAAAGGAAAGGGACAGTCTTCTATCCTGACAATACAAACATGGTTTAGCCAACACCTCACATTGTTTAAGAACTCAGTGCTGAAAAG